ATTCCACATAATCCCAGGTTCCCAGCAGTGTGGTAGACTTCTAGGACACCTCTGAACCTCTTGAATAATAGGCTTTAATTTGAAATGTAAATGACACACCTATACAATCAGAAAATAATGATCAAGTAGATTGATTCATGGGAGCAATTTCTGAGCTTTAACAGGGAAAACAAAGCACCTTGATGATAAATTGTCCAATAACACTCACACAAGAGTGACTTATTTAACGATGTATTTTGAGCATTGTGAATTAGCTTCCTCTATGTTTCCTGCCTGGTCAGAAGCGATATAAGAAAATAGAATCAGCCTCTAGTCTAGACAGCACTTCTTTTGTAGACATGGAAATAATTAAAAACCTTGGATTCAGGCCCTCTAAGTAGGATACCTGACATACTCCAATGGCTTCTCGTGCACATACAAAAGGCACATGTACCCATGTACATACATGTGCACACAAACACACATACATATACACATGCACATGAGTACACAAAAAAGAACCCAGCTACAACAGAAAGCTCCAGTTAGGCATGCCATTCATCATCTCAGAATCCAGTTTCAGGTGTATGTGTACATGTGTGTGTGGGTTCAGGTCCACATTCGAATGTGTGCAGAAGCTGGAGGAGGATGCCAGGTATCTTGCCCTATGATGCTCCTGGATTGTTAAGTGAACCTATTTCTGCCTTCCAAACTACTCCACTGTCCTCCCACAGTGCCTGCCATTCTATATATTCAAGTCACCTCTTTGAGTCAAATTCTGGGATAATTAAGTAGAGTTTTATTAACATGTAGGTTCAGGGGCATGACTGCTGGAAACTGCAAGGCACCATATAAATAAATACTTGTGTAGTTGGGGGGGGGGGAAGTACACAAGTGTTAGTTTTTTTTGTAAACTAAAAAAAGAAAAACCAGAGTTGACAAACAAATGTTCCACTTTCTTTGATGGCTTTTAAGGAGCCTCCATTCTTGGGTGTCTACTTTTTTTCCCCCTTTTTCAGAAGAGTACTGTCTCAGACAGTTGTGAGCCGTCATGTGGGTGCTGGGAATTGAACCTGGGTCCTTTGGAAGAGCAGCCAATGCTCTTAACACTATCTCTCCATCAGGAGTACTACATCAGAAAAGTCCAGGAAGTACTAGTGAAGTCACTAGTTGTAGGAGATAGATATTCAAAGTATCCTGAACATGGTTTGACGAAATGTCAGATGTCACTTCAATATCTGAAAGGGAAATTCTAGTGCCCTCAACAGTCAGAGAAACAGCCTTGGTTGGGACCATTTGCAGACAGTGGTCCATCCTACCCTCTTGTTGGTGTACTGTAGTTTTTAATTTGTTCTGTCCTGTTTTCTGGTCATCACCTATTATGCATCAAGTGTAACTTTCCATCTCTAGCAGCATCACGAGCTTTCCTAAGTAAACTTATTGCAGCTAAAGAAATGAGCCTACTTAATGAGCATACCAAATGGTAAATAGCACAAATGGAAACCACGGCCCCAATCCCGAAGGTGCAATACGATTGTTTAGTTTAGAAAACACTGTGATAGTCACTCATTAAACACTTAGGTGCAGCATGTAAACAGTTAAAAGCAGAACCTTAAAATCGCAGCAGCATTTCTGAACACACTCCCACAGGGTGGACAAACCCTTCACTGCACTGAAGCCCAAGACTCAAGACGATGGAGGAAGGCCAGCGGGTACAGGTGGTCATTGCTGCCGTCGTGAAACGGATGGGGAGAATGCCAGGTGTCCTGCTCTATCTATCTCCTGGGTTAAAGGACAAGGCAAGGTGAGTCAGCACTTTTCTGGACGAAGAATCCACAAAACCACAAAATGCCATTCTGAGAACGGCCACCTCTTATGCAGAGAGGCAACACATGGCAACCCTTTGAACAGAGGAGAGTGACGATGGCCCAGCTTGGCGTGTTTGGTTTGGAGGTAATAGTATCTGTAATTATGTGCCAAAGTCTTGTTGTTTTGCTTTCCACTTTTCTCAAAATCCTCCAGAGAGGTGAATTTTCATTCGTTTATTTATTGGGGGGTGTGCCATGGTGCTCATGTGGAGGTCAGAGGACAACTTTCGAGAGTCAGTTCTCTCTTTCTAGGGATGAAAATCAGGTTGCTGTGCTGTGTGGCCCCATGTGCCCAAACCTCTGATTACGTTCTTTTGCGCTCTCTGAGTTTCCTCGTGTGATTCTCAAGTAAGAGGAGTAAATGTTTTCTTCCGATTTCTTACATATCAACGATGACTGAAGGATGCAAATGGGGGGTAAGGATAGCAGCCTCCCCACCACCACCTTGTCCCAGCCTCTGCTGTTCCCCTCTGGAGAAGCATGTAAGGAAAAGATCCAGAGCCACATTGTAACTGTTCCCTTCCCATATGTAAGACCACAGTGGCGGTATATGGGCAGTGGAGAAAGACGAGATCTCTGCTCCCATCACCATAGCACATGCCCTCAGCACCTTAGCAGTGTGTAAAGTGGCCAACCTATGCTTGTATAGCATCCTGATGGATGTTGCCAAGTGAGGCATCCTGCTCTGCAAGAGCCATTAGCCATTATAAGTCACACAGCTCTTAACAATTCTAAAATAGCATGGGGTGGAGTTTTGCAGAACTCTGTCTGGGCGGCAACAGTCTTGAACTAATAAAAGCTATGATTACCTGCACACAATTTGAACAAGATTGAACCTTTCGGCACCCTGCTATGAAGTGCGTAGGGGCTCACGAGGCCCCCCACCCTTACTGAGGATTTATAGGAGGTTAATGGTTACCTGGGGAGGGAGAGACATTTTCTTTAGGGGTTTTGTCATGGGAAGGTGCCCATGCTCCTATAACTCCTCATTCATGTTTTGTAAGCAACCCTAGTTAAACTTGTTGGGACACGGACACACACACACACACACACACACAGAGTTAGGAGACTAGTTCAGAAAAGAAGGAGAGCAGATGGAAGGGGAAGGGAACAAGAGAAGGTAATGGGGCTGAATATAATCAAATACATTATATATACATCATATATACCATATGAAACCATTATTATGTATAATCAGTATATGCTAACAAAATGCAATAAGAAAGTTTAAAGAAGGGATTCACTCTAACAATGTAAATCCTGTGAGAGAACATCCCTCAGGTCATTATTTGAGCAAGCATGTCATGCTGTTCACCCACACTTAAAAACAAAAATCAACCATGTCTTCCCCATCTCAGAACAGCTTCCTTCTTCAGGGTCTAGCATCTGGCCTCCACCACTCTCCAGGTCAGATGCACCTGTCTCTGTGCAGTCACACCCTATGAGCCAGTGATTTTCTTCGTTCCCATCACAGCATCAGAAAGCCTCTTTTAAGTAGAAGGAAAACTTAGTCCTTTTGAAGAAATGCTCTCACTTTCAGCATTTCCCCTTCTCAACATTTCGAGGGTCATGGTGAGTTCCTTTGCACTCACAGAACCTCATCTCTCTTCACTAATGACAACTCTCTGCAGAAGGCATGTCTTTGGGCTTCTGACAATCTGAGACAAGAATATGCATTTATTTATTCATTCACTGAAGCCTTTTTTTTTTTTTTTTTTTTTTTTTTTTTTTGTGTGTGTGTGTGCGAGCTGCCTGGTTTGGAATTTGAGGCTGCATGACAGAGTCCCGGTGTTAGGTATTCAACCTGCTTGGATAAGCATGCAAACAGATGAACTAAGGGCAATGAGGTTGTCCTTATGGGTTTTTGAAGTTTGTACAAGAGTTCTGTTTTAGAGACTGTCTGAACCCATTGTAGGCCTTTCGTCACTATGGTAAGGATGTGTTTTACTCCGTGAAGACAGCGTGGAGAATGAAGTGCTACTCAGAGGTTACTGCAGTAACACATCCATGGGAAATAAGAAACAAGGGTGGATGGCTGAGTTTCAGCTAATGGACCTAACAGAGTACAGAAATATGAACCCGAGAGGCAGTCCTCTCCTGATGACTGCTCCTATCAGATAAATTCTTGAGAAAAATCTTGACGTAGGATTGCTTTTCACCTTTCTCCACGTCCTCTGGGGGTAGGGAACCCCTCTGGCTCACGGCTCTTTCTGTGGTATTTTTAGCCAATCTGTTTTAGGGATCACTGATTTAAATGTTGGTTAAGAATTTAACACTTAGCATGAAGATGAAAATGTGCTTTATGAAATTTCATCTCTTTCCCCATGTATATTAAAAAGAAATTCTGGATATGCTAAGTGGTGATACAGGTTGGGCGGTTGGTTTACAGTTAGGATCTATACATATTGGATGAAGGGCACACTGACTTTTTATTATTTTTAAAATAATTTTAATTTACTCATTTATAATTTCATATATATATGAAATTCTCTTCTCCCCCATTCCCTTCTATTACTACCCTCCCATTTCCTCTGGAACCCTTCTTTGTTCGGACATGTCCAAGGGGACATTTGTAAATGGGCTCCCGATTAAGTTTTAAGACAGGATCTCTTTACACAGCCCTCCCTGGCTGTCCTGGAACTCACTCTGTAGACCAGGGTGGCCCAGAACTCACCGAGATCCACCTGCCTTTGCCTCCTGACTGCGTGGGTTAAAGGCGAGAGCCACCGTACTCTTCTCTGATGAACTTTTTAACTATTATTTGATGAGTCAAATGGCTAAGGTAATTTCTCACCTAGGGAGACTGAAAGGGGAATTGCGGGAGAGGAGCAATTTTATTATCTGAGATAATGTTTTAAAGTTAGTTCTGAAGCTGTTTTATGTCCTACTCTCACCTGAAGCGAAACTAAACCCCACCGGCGCCAGGAGTTGGCAAAATGTAGACAGAATAGTAGTAACTCTTCAGAAAGCACAACTCCCATGGCCACCAACCAAGTTTTGTTAAGGGTTCTCTTTCCCTGTGTCAGCAGCACGGACGACCGTCCCAAGTCTGTGCGACTGAGTTTGTGCAGGAACTGACCAAGACACCCGCGCACCCCACCACGCACCAATGGTTTCTGTCCAGGGACTTTGGCCTTGGCCTTGGCTACTCACAGAGTCTGGGTGCTGGGTGGTAGGCTGGGGATGCGGTGGAGTTCCTTGCAGGTGACTCTGAAGTCGTCCTCCTGGTGGCACTCGCAGGGTGGAGACGCACACCCTCTGCCCCACAGGCTCCCGGGCAGGGCGAGCAGCAGCCCGAGCTGCAGCAGGTACCCTGGCCTCATTTTTCAAGGGACCTCCTGGGCTACTCCATCGTTGTTGCGCGCTGTCGCCTCATTCTCAGTGTCCAGCTCCTGACGCTGGAGGAGACCGGGGAGCGGGAGGGACGGGAGGGAGGAGGAGGACTCGGAGGGGCTGTGACCTCATCGCTGGAAAGCACACTGGAGAGGGGGCAGGAGAGGCTCTCAAGTACTCCCGCTTGCCTAGGCAACTCTCCATCCAAACAAGTCAGCTTGCCACACTCGATCAGCCTCACAGTTCCTTCTGTTCCAACCTTGGTCCCTGAGCTGTACTCTCCGTCCCACCCATTAGTTTTTTCTAAAGCCTCATAGATGCACCTTCTTCTTCCCTTGTCTCCGAACTCCTGGAGCCACCTTTCTTGGCTGAGCAGCCTTTAAGAGCTGTAGCGACCGGGGAGACCTACTTCAAATGGACTTCGTCTAATATCACCACGGAGGAGACTGTTGTGGAATACTCTAATGTCCCTCCCAGAACTTCGGCTTCTCCAGGTTAAAATCACCTTTGCTGAGAACTGGAACCAACAACCCAGCCGGGGCCACCTCAGGGTGCAGCCGAAGGGGGATGTGACACTCTGGGAGGATCCTCGATGCTCTCCAAGCTGGAGCAGGCAGGGACTGTCGCGCGCCCTGGTGGCTCTCAAGCTTGAGCCAAGAAACCCGCTGTCTGACCGAACCCGAGCAACTCCGCCGAGTCAGGCGCTGGGCTCTGGGGCCATCTGCTGTGGAGAACTGGGAACTGCGCGTGCAGGTCCCCTTGCCGCGTGGTGACAATCTGTCAAGTCTGTCTGCTTAGGAATCTAGAAGTTGTGCTTTCATTCCCCTTCATCCTCTCCAGAAAACGAGAGTAAAAAGAACATTTAAGTGTCACATCATTCTTCACCCACTAACCAAAAATATTAATTACAAATGAAAAGATTGGGTCAATTTTCTTCTTGAAAGTATATTTGCTTTACTAACTCTTCTAGGAACAAAAGCAACACTAACTCCTGATTTGCTACAAGGTTTCTTTTATATGTAACTCTAGAACAGGATGGAAAGGCTAGGGTGCTGGGAATCAAAAGAGACATTAAGAGAGAAGATTCTGAAAATACATGATTAGTAACAGGCTGGAGGTCAATGGCAGGTAAATATTAAGATTCATTGAACTGTATGCTTAAGATACACGCACTCTAGTGTTTATAGAAACTTATGGATAGTCATAAACAGTCCCACATGTCCTTTAAGAAGATAGTGAACGCACAGATGCCTTTCCACAGTAAAAATCAATCCAGCATTAGTTTACACATTATATATAAATCTTGAATGTGAATGATAAGTGCAAGAAATCAAATGAAAAAATTATATATTTATATGTGACCATTCATATACATGACATTAGGGCTGGGGATGTAGCTCAGTTGGTTTGAGTGCTTGCCTAGCACGCTCAAGGTTCCTAGAATGCCCAAGGTTCCAAACCCAGCAGAAGATAAACTTAGTAAGGTGGTATACTTCTGTAATCCCTGCATGTGGGAGTCAGAGGCAGGAGGACCAAGGTCCTTGGCGGTACAGCAAGTTGTAGGTCACATGGGCTATATGAGACCCCAAAGGACTGAAATCTCAAAAGAGAGAGACTGACTACAAACAGACACCCAGAGATTTTTCTGGGAAACGAAATTGTTCTCAGTCTTCATTGTGGTGGTCCAATGGCAATTTATAAATGTGAAGAATTATAGTTCTTGCTTTTTGAATGTTGAACCCATCTTAAACCCAGAGATAAATGCCTTTTGACTGTTCTGAATGTATTCTTGCAGTAACTTTACTGAAATTCTGTTTGAGAGTTTTGTGTAGATGTTCCTAAGGAAAGGTGGCCTCTTACTCCTTCCTTTAGTTTCTTTTGTATGGTATTCTCAGTTTCTTTTGTATAGTATTCTCAGTAGTTGATTCTTTCATCACAGACTGAATTGTGAAAATGTTTCCTCCATCTAAATTTCTTTTAGTGTTTGTTTACAATTTAGTACTTTGTTCTTATCTGGTAGAGTTTACCAGTGAAACCAATTAAACTTTGAATTTTTCACTACAAATTTAATTTCTAGAAACAAGTGTAATGTTATTCAGGTTCTTTCATTCTCTTGGGGGTAATTTGGTAGTTTTTGTTTTATAAAGGATTTGTTATCTATTACTGAAGCCATGGCCATAAAGCTATTTACAATATTGTCTCTATACATTCATACAAACATGCATAATATGTCCTAATGCTTACCCTTTCATACCCGATATTGCCATTTTGTGCCTTCATCCTGCTTTTCCCATTTACATATTTAGAGCTTTGTTTCATCAGAAGTCTCAAGGCAGTGTATTTTCAGTTCATAGATTCCATATTATAGTCCATTCACACTGGCAGGTCAACTGGTGTTGTCATTATGCAGCTCTTGTTTAGGTGACCATATTGTTGAGATTTCAATACCGCAGCTTTCCTGTCATACATAGAAGACACTGTGTCTCAGAAGACATCCCGGTCCTCTGGTGCTTACAATCTTTCCACCTACCTCTCTCACAGTGTCCCTTCTCTATAGGTATAGGGGTTGTGTCATACATGCATCATTTAGGGTGGGGTTTTCAATGGTCACTTGCTCTCAGCATCTTGACCAATTGTGGATTTCTATAATGCTCTCCACAGGTTACAAAAAGAAGCTTCTTTGACGAGGAGTGCCATATTTTAATTTTCCTGTTGTTTATCGATATGAAATACCCTGGCAAAAAATAACTTGATGGAGAAAGGGTTTATTCGGGATCACAGTTCAAGGGTAGCACCATGAGGACCGAGAAGTCAAGCCAACAGGAACTTAAAGTCCCACCACATCCACAATTAGGAAGCAGAGAGTGATGGGTACATGCTGGAGCTCAGTATCCTTTTTTTTTTTTCATTTATGCAGTCCAGGATCTCAGCCAGGGAATGGTTCAGGCTACAGTAGGTGTATTTTACCCCCTCACTTAAAATAGTCAAGATAATCTCACATGGGCATTCCAGAAGCACTTTCTCCAGATGATTCTAGATTTTGTTAAGTTGGCAATTGACACTAAGTGTCACACGTGAGGTTATGATTTTCATTAAAATTTGAAAGTTTCAGCCATATGTCTTTTCTTTTTTAAAAAAATAATTTACTTAAATTCATTTTATGTGCACTGGTGTGAAGGTGTCAGATACCATGGAACTGGAATTACAGACGATTGTGAGCTATCATGTGGGTGCAGGGAATTGAACCTGGGTCCTCTGGAAGAGCAGACAGTGCTCTTAACCACTGAGCCATCTCTCCAGCCCCATGTGTGTCTTTTCTGTTCCTCTTTCTCATTCCTTTTCATTTTTGATTCCAATTGTTGCACTTACAACAGACTGGAGTTGTCCCACAAACAAAATATTGAAACCTTTTTTCCCCCCAAGAACATAGCAATCTCATTGGATGTCAAAATAGTTCCACTGGGAGAAGGTTAGACTGAAAGTTTTTTCTCTCTGCTTTCCATTTGAGTGGTTTTTTCCAGCTCTGTCTCCAAATTCAATTTTTAAAAATTCTCCTGGAATATTTGATCTGCCACTAATCCTTGGAGTATATGTTTCATATCATAAACCACAGTTTTCATTTCTAGAAGTTCTCTTTCTCATATAATCTGTATAACACAGTGACTCTTTTGATGTCTATGTTAGTTCCCAAGACCTGCTATAACAAAGTAAATTCCACACACTTTATGTTTTCAAATGAGATGAATTCATTCTCTTGTAATTTGTAAGGCTGGAAGTCTACAATCAAGGTGTGGGCAAGGACACACTCTTAGAGCTCCAGAGGATGATTCTTTGGGTAAGAACACACTCTTTCTTAGAGCTCCGGAAGATGATTCTTTCTGGTTCTTCTAGCTTTTGGCAGTCATCAATGCTCCTCATTATCCCTAGCCTTGAACCATTCCAGACTCTTCCCCCATCATCAAAAGGCTCTCTCCTCATGTGCCCCTCTGTTTAAATTTCCTTCTTCTTTTAAGTATATCCACCCTTGGATTGGGGACCAATCCAGAATGACCTAAACTTGCCTTCGATATATGTAAAGGCCATATCTCAAATAAGGTCTTATTTATAAGTCCTACAAATTAGAAATTGAAGATACCATTTCGGAGGGATAATTCAACCCATACAATATCCTTGCTTGATAACTATGGTGTCTTTGCAGGTATCGAGTCAATCTAGATTAGCTCATTTTTCTTCCTAAAATGAGTTAATGTTTTCTGCTGCCTTGCCAGTATCATGACCTGTTTGGATTGCAGACACTGTAAATGTTACAGCATTTGGCAGTTTATTTTGCAGCCAATGTGAATACTCTTGATATTTATTATTAAATACCATTAAATGTGTGGGTCCCTGCAAGTGTCACAGCCAGCAGTAAAACAATCTGTGGAAAGACAAGAATGAAACTTGGTTCAGCATGACATAGTTAGCTAGGCTGGTTCAAACTTTTGGAGTCTGATGCCCAGCAGTTTAGTTAAAAAAATTTTTTCAAGACAATAAAACTTTGGAAAAAAGTTTCCTCCTGAAAATTATCACAACAAAACTTAAGTCACGACTACATCGAAATTCCCTTGCAAAGTTCATGTCTTTTGCAGAGCACCTGTGACCTCTTCTACAAGAATGGGTTGTACTGACTTTGAGACAATGCTCAGGATAACCAGGAAGGAAGGGTTTGTAATAGGCATAATAGCAAACTCTTTTACAAAGTACATGAGACAATCTTTCATGAGGATGATTCTAGTGACTCAGAAGTCTGGGGGATTCGGGTGAGGGCTGGCTCCACAGAATAGCAAGTGATCAAACAACATCCACTCCAGCCTTCCAGGTGAACAGGTGTCAATTTCTTCAACTGAAGAAATTGCCTGTGTGCTTAACAATTCTGGTGTCTTTAGTGATTATTAGCAAACACATGGACCTCGTACCCTCCTACAGTTAAATTACTTAAAAACCATTTTATATTTTATTTATTTTGTTTTTAAATATTTGTTACATGTGATCAGAATGGCATTTAATCTAGGGCTAATCCCTTACCATTTCTTAGACTCTTTTGAACACCCAGTCAATGATCCCTGAATTATTAAATGTTTCAGTCTGGTTGATAGCAATTGCTATTCTGGATCGTGGATAAGTGACAGGTGTTTCCTCCTCTGAGCTTGGGAGACATGCCTTTCTCCAGTTTTAATTGCTTCACATGTGTGTAGCAGTTAAGAGTTTTCTGAGTATTCCGTGGAGACCTGCTGTGGTTCTCAGAAATTTTTCTCCACATGGTTTTTTCCTGCTCTTAGTTTGTCATGAAAACTCCATATACCTCCACTTCTCAAGGCTCTCAAGTCCCTTTCCAGATTTACAGCATCTAGTGGGCACTTGCTGCCTGCGTTCCTTCTCTTTACACCACAGGTAAGATGCTTTCTTGAATGTGGCAGTCGTGAGGTTTGCCACATCATCTGTTGCCTGTCTCTCAGAGATTACATTCTTTGTCTGATGGCCACTATCTCCCACATATTTTGTCTGTTATTTTATTTCTGAGGGCAAGGTATGTTTGGTGGTGGTGACTCTGTCTTTACTGGGAGCAATGCTGAAATCTGTAACA